TTTATGCAGAAAAAAGCCATTCGAATAGTCAATCAAAGCAATAAGATTTTACGACTTAGTCACTTTGAAGACTGTAATCTTCATGTACAGAGTAAATAAGAAAATACTGCCTCAAACTAAACTCTGTATGTTTGAAAACAGGGAAGAGATATATAAGCTGAGAGGAGAAAACTTATTTAAAAAACAGATGGTCAAAACCAACTTTAAAATGAACACCATTTCGGTCAAAGGGGTCGACTTGTGGAATGGTCTCAGTAATGATCTCAAGAGGAGCAATTCCATTCATTATTTTAAAAAAACATTTAAAAGAAGAATTTTTGATAAGTATACGTTTTCGTAAGTTATGTTTGGGTCTACTGATGTGCACATACAAGAAATTGCTAAACTGAATAAGACAAACACTAACACTATATTTATAACAATAACAAAAGTGTATGCAAATATGTGTGTATTCCTGTATGTACATATATTTATTGTATGTGTTTGTGTAGCGATCATAGACTGTATATATTAACGGACAGAGTCACGCCTATCTCCGCCGTTCAAACTAATGGGCCAAAAAATGTGCTCTACTGGAGCAATCCAAAATGGCCGCGAGTGGTCCCGCCCACAAGAAAATTGTGAAAAAACGCATCTGCGCATGCGTCACCCGGCGCAACTCCATTCATTTGAACGAGAGACTTCAAAAATTCACAGCAAGTAAACTAGAGTGGACCAAAAAAATCCACCCCCCTCAGCATTGACACACATGTGGAACGGAGCTTTGGGCCAAGAGCCAACTTTTGGTCCATCCTGTAAAGACGTTTTTGAGAGGTCTGCCAATGCTATATGTTAGCATTGGCTAATTCTTCTTCTGGGTCCACCCCCATCGGCCCGAGGTGGCATGTCAGCGCATGTCATTTTGGCCACTTTTGAGCTGGGACCCTCCCCCACTGGTAGCGATACGTGTTTTTATATACTTATATGCTTGCGTATGTGTATCAATGTAACCTGTATAATTTGACTAATTCAGTTGGGTAGTTGTATTTTGTTGTTGTTAATAGGGTAAGGCAAGGCAAGGCAGGTTTATTTATACTGTATAGCACAATTTATACACAAGGCAATTCAAAGTGCTGAACAAGAAAGCATTAAAATCATAAATAATCACAGAACATTAAAAATAAAGATAAAAATATAAAATCCCTCAGTTGTATGCACAGGTAAACAGAACTGTTTTTAACCTGGTTTTAAACATTGTCATTGAGGAGGCCTGTCTCACATCTTCAGGAAGACTGTTCCAGATTTTAGCAGCATGAATCTGAAAAGCAGCCTCCCCATGTTTAGTTCTGACTCTGGGCACTAACAGGAGTCCAGTCAGTGTGCTCCTCAGAGTCCGGGCTGGTTCATATGGGACTAACATGTCACTAATATATTTTGGTGCGAGGCCATGGAGAGACTTGTACACAAGCAGAGCTGTTTTAAAGTCTATTCTCTGAGCCACAGGAAGCCAGTGCAGAGACCTGAGGACCGGACTAATGTGGTCGTACTTCCTGGTTCTTGTCAGGACTCGAGCTGCTGCATTTTGAATGTACTGCAGCTGTTTTACAGCCTGTTTGGACAGACCTGTGAGCAGGCCATTGCAGTAGTCTAACCTACTGGAGACAAATGCATGGATAAGAATCTCCAGGTCTGCTTTAGACACTATGTTTTTGATCCTGGCAATGTTTTTTAGGTGGTAAAAAGCTGCTCATGTTACTGATTTGATGTGGCTATTAAAATTTAAGTCTGAGTCCAGTATTACCCCTAGATTTCTGACCTTGTTTGAAGGTTTTAGGGAGAGAGACTGTAGGTGACAGATGACGCTCTCTCTTTGTTTCTGGGGACCAAAGTCAATCATTTCAGTTTTGTCTGCGTTTAGCTGAAGGAAGTTGTTTTGCATCCACTCACTGATCTGTTGGATACAGTGAAGGAGTGAGTCCACTGGTCCATGTTCTCCTGCAGTCAGTGAGACATAGATCTGAGTGTCGTCTGCATAGTTGTGATAGGACACTTCGTTTCTGCGTATTAACTGACCTAACGGCAGCATGTAGAGATTGAACAGAAGAGGTCCCAGGATCGACCCCTGTGGTACTCCACAGGTCAGGGCCATATGATCTGAGACACAGTTTCCAATCTCCACAAAGTACTTCCTGTCTTCAAGGTAAGACCTAAACCAACTTAGGGCGGTGCCAGCGACGCCAACCCAGTCCTCTAGTCTCTGTAAGAGGATCTCATGGTCGACAGTGTCAAAGGCAGCACTTAGATCTAACAAGATTAAGATTGAGACTTTGCCTGCGTCAGTGTTCAGCCGGATATCGTTTGTAACCTTGACGAGAGCAGTCTCAGTGCTGTGGTGGGGTCTAAAGCCGGACTGAAACATATCAAATGAGTTGTTGATTATAAGAAATCTAGTAAGTTGTAAGTAGACAACTTTCTCAAGGACTTTCCCCATAAATGGCAGATTTGAGATGGGACGATAGTTGTTAAGTACCGTAGCATCCAGACTGCTCTTTTTTAGCAGGGGCCTGATGACTGCAGTTTTCAGGGCCTTTGGGAATATTCCAGAATGAAGGCACTATTGATAGGCACTATAAGCCACGGCTTCAGCCTACACCTTTTCTGGTTACCTTCCTTATTTGCAACAAAATAGACATGTATTGTTTGTAGACGATTTGTTTGTAACCAAATAAACCTAATAGTAACATCACTCCGTATCATATCAAACTCCAGCGTATATTCATGTTTGAACCTCAGTCACATTTATATTTATTATTTAGTATTTACATCAAATCAGACTCAATGATTGTATTGTATCATCCTCAAAACACTGCTGTTTTATTTTTTTTGAGTAAAGAAATCATAGTGTTAATAAACAGGTAATACAAGTATGTACTAATAAAAAATTGTGTATTATCCCACCAGGGGCAGTTCATTTGAGCAGCATAGAAATATAAAAAAACAGTAACATAAGCAATATCGGATAAAGTGACTTTAATGTTCTTTTATGAATACAATACAGATTCAACAATTACTTTCAAATGATGTAATATTATTTACAGCATGTACAGCAATGTGAGTAATTCCAGCAATCCATTGTCTTCCGCTTTATCCGTGGCCGGCCTCACGGGGGCAGCAGTCTTCCCTGTATCCACACTCTTCCTCAAGGACATTCCCAGGCCTTCCAGTACATCCTGGGTCCTGATCAACTGGTTCCTCTCGACTTGAAGACGCAGCGGCTCTACTCCGAGCTCCCCCCGTGTGACCTAGCTCCTCACCCATGTACCCGCAATCTCGGCCTTTCGGTCATCCCCCAAAGCTCATGACCAGACGTGAGTGAGGGGAGGTAAAATGAAGAATTTTTTGAACCAGGTACAAGTTATTGGTCTGTTGTATTGATATATGTAAAATTATGTATTGTGCAGGTTTGACATAAATAAATAAATAAAAGCTCTGACTGCAGACGCTGCTCCCTCCCCTCATCACCGCATCCGTCTGTAAATGATGCTTCTGGCCTCACACATTTTCTTACTGGAGGTCTTAGAATGGATTGCGTCCCATTAGCTATTTTACAATATTTTTGCTATTTCCTCATGAGCACGAATGTTTGCCCCCCCCACACACACACACGGAAACTCAGGGGACCTCATAACACAACAGGAAGTACATTTGAAATTCATTTTCACTGCTGCATTCTGCTGAACTGAATCTCGTCGTACACCGTCTGCGCCTGTAGTGAAGCAAAGCACATAATTTTTTTCATCGTTGTCATAATTTTATTCTTTTCAAAGTCACTAAATAATGATAGTGACTTTCATAAAACAATGATTTATGAATGGTGATCTTACTTTAGGTTTTTGTTTGTGGTCCACGGATTCATAAAGAGGGCAGTGGTTTAGAATCTGTAGAGGGAGAAAAGAATCATAAAGACTTAATATCGTGTTTTTAAATTATGAAAAACAATTTGATATGTGTGATTTAGTTTTCAAAAATTCCTTTCCAATGGCGCTATTGTATTTTCTATTTCTGTGACAATATAAACTATGGCTCCAAGGATCCTGAATGGCTTTACGCAACGACCAATGTGCCTCAACATAAAGCTGGGGTACCTAACTTTCAAATCACACACACATGATGTAATACAATCTATCTGCCTAGTTCCTTGATTTTAAAACCCTTTGGTTCCTTGGTTCTCACATGCATGTATGTTTGGCTTTTTTTTTTTTTTTTTAAAGATAAGATGAGATTACATTTATTGATATCACAATGGAGAAATTTGCAAGGGAAGAAAACATAGTCTATTTTTTTTTTCAAAATCTTTAACTTCAAAACTAGTCTTTCTGTCGGAACAAACCAAAAAGAAAAGTTTGGTAGCCAAGCTTTACTCTAAAACAAAGGAGAGTAAACTGTTCGTTTCTAGGCGTTCTTTTCAGATTTTAATAATAATGAGGCCACCATTTCTCTCAGTCACTATTTTATCATTGTGTGGTTTTCAGCAGGATATGCTCTGAACCAAGACTTTAAAATGAACTGCCGTAGAAATAGAAAATAAATAACACAATGTAACTTCATTAGTATAGATTTTTAATACTAACACTGGGGGAAGATTCAAAATGATGTGATGTATACATTTATTTGGAAAAAGAATAAATAGAAGTCAGAGACTGTCAGACTGTACAATGAGTCACTTTAATGACCTGCACTAGGACTGAAATACTCGCACTGCTATAGTTTTACACTATGCACTTTTAATGTTCTTATTGTACATAATATATCTTGCACAAGAGAGACTATATTTTCAACTTTTTTAACATGTTTGCCCACTTCCTGTCTTTTTGATTCTATCTGTGTCAAATAACATGTACATTTTGCCATAGTGAGATTTAGTTTATCTTATCTTATATTACTAGACTTTCTGTTAACTCCTGAGACTCTGAGGAGCACAGGGACGGGCCTCCTGCTGGGACTCTGAGGAGCACAGGTACTGGCTTCCTAATGGTTGATATGGGGAGACAGCATTTCTAAAACTAAAATCCGGAACAATCTCTGGCTATAATTAGGTCTTAGCTGAAAACAACACTTTTTAGCCGGGCCTATGACTGATCATCACTGGACTCACTTTGTGTGTGTTTTACAATGTTTTAATTTACTTCCTGTTGGTTTTAAATGTTGTTAAAGGACAACTCACCCTCAAATCCATTTTTTCTGATAAACAGTATAAATGAGTGTCCAATAGTGTTGTCTACATATCCTGGTCATAATTTTGTCACTTTGGTGCAAATTAGTTGAAAGATCAACTTTATGCCTAAAACCGTCTGTGAGGTGCCACCTGGAGGCAACCTGTATTACTACATTTGAATTTTGAATCTCAGTTGTAGCCAGTGGGGGCGGGTCTCAGCTCAAAAGTGGCCAAAATGACGTGCGCTGACATGCTTGCAATACCACCCCGGGCCGATGGGGGTGGACCCAGAAGTAGAATTAGCCAATGCTAACATATAGCATATAGACCTCTCAAAAACGTCTTTACAGGATGGACCAAAAGTTGGCTCTTGGCCCAAAGCTCCGTTCCACATGTGTGTCAATGCTGAGGGGGGTGGATTTTTTTGGTCCACTCTAGTTTACTTGCTGTGAATTTTTGAAGTCTCTCGTTCAAATGAATGGAGTTGCGCCGGCTGACGCATGCGCAGATGCGTTTTTTCACAATTTTCTTGTGGGCGGGACCACTAGCGGCCATTTTGGATTGCTCCAGTAGAGCACATTTTTTGGCCCATTAGTTAGAACGGCGGAGATAGGCGTGACTCTGTCCATTAATATATACAGTCTATGGTTGTAGCTGACGTCTGAGGTTGTACCTGACGTCAGCAGCCCCCGCTCTGTGGTATATAAACGGCCCAGTCTCGGTCACGCCTCCGTAGAAAGTTGGAGAAGGAATAGCAGTGTATTTTCATCGATTGTCAGGTTTGCGATTAGTTATAGCATTTAGGTAGATTTTTATTAACATAGCTGTTTGTATTGCAGTGTTAATAGTGTTGTTGTTGAATATTGTAGTATAGTCATTAGTTGCTTTTATTCTTAGATTAGTTAGATGAATTTAGCTTAGGACTTGTTATTACTAGTGTTCTATATCGTGTGCAATTTCATTGTATATTGTTTATTGTACTTGTGTACAATAAATACTACTTTATGTTTGAGCGTGTGTTAAATTACTGTCTCTTTTGTGCACACTTCTATCCAAAATGCCGGGGGACGAGGAGGTGCAGTGGCCGCAGTTTATTGTGGCAGTTTAGCTCTACTAGTGGCGCTAGCTTTTAGCCCCTAGCTCTACTAGTGGCGCGAGCTAGTGGCTCAATTTGATAGGGCTGGGGGCCGCCGTCTGCCTCCTCTATCTCAAGAGAAGTCCCCCACCTGACCGCACAAAATCTATAGAGCTGGTGTCTGTGTTAACTCTCTTTGTCACAGCCAATGCTGATGTCAAGTGTCAATCACAGCTTAGACCCGCCCAACATTCGCGTCCCTCCGCCTCCGGGTGGGGGACAAGTCTCTCATTGTTGTGACGGCCTACGGGCCTAACAGCAGTGCAGAGTACCCGGCCTTCTTGGAGTCCTTGGGAGGGGTACTGGACGGTGCACCGCCGGGGACTCCGTTATTCTCCTGGGGGACTTCAACGCCCATGTGGGAGTCGCCAGTGACACTTGGAGAGGGGTGATCGGAAAGAACGGCCCCCCTGATTTGAACCCGAGCGGTGTTCAGTTGTTGGACTTCTGTGCCAGTCACAGTTTGTCCATCACGAACACCATGTTCGAGCACAAGGGTGTCCACCAGTGCACGTGGCACCAGGACACCCTAGGCCAGAGGTCGATGATCGACTTTGTTGTCGTATCATCTGACCTTCGACCGCGTGTCTCGGACACTCGGGTAAAGAGAGGGGCGGAGCTGTCAACCGATCATCACCTGGTCGTGAGTTGGATCCGCTGGCAGGGGAAGAAGCCGGTCAGACCTGGCAGACCCAAGCGTATAGTGAGGGTCTGCTGGGAACGTCTCGCTGAGCCCCCTGTCAGACGGACTTTCAACTCGCACCTCCGGGAGAGTTTCTCCCAGGTCCCGGCGGAGGAGGGGGACATGGAGTCCGAGTGGACCATGTTCTCTGCCTCAATCGCCGATGCGGCGGCTCGTAGCTGTGGTTGCAAGGTCTCTGGTGCTGGTCCCGGCTGCAACCCCCGAACCCGGTGGTGGACACCGGCAGTAAGGGATGCTGTCAGGCTGAAGAAGGAGTCCTATCAAGCCATGATGGTTCGGGGGACTCCTGAGGCAGCTGTCCAGTACCGGCAGGCCAAGCGTGCCGCGGCCCGGGCTGTTGCAGAGGCAAAAACCCGGGACTGGGAGGAGTTCGGAGAGTCCATGGAGCATGACTATCGGTCGGCCTCGAAGAGATTCTGGCAAACCATCCGGCGCCTCAGGAGGGGGAAGCAGTTCTTTGCCAACACCATGTACGGTGCGGGTGGAGAGCTGCTGACCTCGACTGGGGATATTGTCGGGCGGTGGAAGGAATACTTTGAGGTTCTCTTCAATCCCCCCGTCACGTCCTCTGTTACAGAGGCAGAGGCCGAGGATGTTGGGGCGGATACATCCATCTCCCTGGCTGACGTCACCAAGGTGGTTGGTAGCCTCCATGGTGGCAAGGCTCCGGGTGTGGATGAGATCCGCCCTGATTATCTAAAGTCTCTGGATGTTGTAGGACTGTCTTAGCTGACACGTCTCTGCAACGTCGCGTGGCGATCGGGGGCAGTGCCAATGGAGTGGCAGACCGGGGTGGTGGTCCCTCTCTACAAGAAGGGGGACCGGAGGGTGTGTTCCAATTATCGTGGGATCACACTCCTCAGCCTCCCCGGTAAGGTCTACTCCAGGGTACTGGAGAGGAGGTTACGGCCGATGGTCGAATCTCGGATCCAGGAGGAGCAGTGTGGTTTTCGTCCCGGTCGCGGAACACTGGACCAGCTCTATACTCTCCATCGGATACTCGAGGGTTCATGGGAGTTCGCCCAACCTGTCCACATGTGTTTTGTGGATTTGGAGAAGGCGTTTGACTGTGTTCCCCGGGGTGTCCTTTGGGGGGTTCTCCGGGTGTACGGGGTCGGGGGTCCTCTGCTGAGGGCCATCCGATCCCTGTATGACCGGAGCCAGAGCTGTGTTCGCATTGCCGGCAGTAAGTCAAACCTGTTCCCGGTGAATGTTGGCCTCCGACAGGGCTGCCCTTTGTCACCGGTTCTGTTCACTGTATTTATGGACAGAATATCTAGGCGCAGCCAGGGGTCGGAGGGGGTCCGGTTCGGAGACCACAGGATTTCATCTCTGCTGTTTGCGGACGATGTTGTCCTGTTGGCTCCAACGAACCAGGACCTGCAACATGCACTGGGGCGGTTTGCAGCCGAGTGTGAAGCGGCTGGGATGAGAATCAGCACCTCCAAATCCGAGGCCATGGTGCTCGACCGGAAAAAGGTGCCTTGCCCTCTACAGGTGGGTGGAGAGGTCCTTCCTCAAGTGGAGGAGTTCAAGTATCTCGGGGTCTTGTTCACGAGTGAGGGAAGAATGGAGCGTGAAATTGACAGGCGGATCGGTGCAGCGTGCGCAGTGATGCGGTCGCTGTATCGGACCGTTGTGGTAAAGAGGGAGCTGAGCCGAAAGGCAAAGCTCTCAATTTACCGGTCAATCTTCGTTCCCTCCCTCACCTATGGTCATGAGCTTTGGGTAATGACCGAAAGAACGAGATCGCGGATACAAGCGGTCGAAATGAGCTTCCTCCGCAGAGTGGCTGGGCGCTCCCTTAGAGATAGGGTGAGGAGCTCAGTCACACGGGAGGAGCTCGGAGTAGAGCCGCTGATTCTCCACGTCGAGAGGAACCAGTTGAGGTGGCTCGGGCATCTGTTCCGGATGCCTCCTGGACGCCTCCCTGGGGAGGTGTTCCGGGCACGTCCCACCGGGAGGAGGCCCCGCGGAAGACCTAGGACACGCTGGAGGGACTATGTCTCTCAGCTGGCCTGGGAACGCCTTGGGGTCCCCCCGGACGAGCTGGAGGAAGTGTGTGTGGATAGGGAAGTCTGGGCGTCTCTGCTTAGACTGCTGCCCCCGCGACCCGACAACGGATAAAGCGGAAGAAAATGGATGGATGGATGGATAATTTTATGGGTAAAAGATAAGGGGTGTCCAAACTTTTTAGTAAGATGGCCACTTTAGTTCACCAGACTAGTCCAGAACCGACATCACGGGCTGAAAAACTGTCTTGATTGGCATCGGGCTGTTCTGAGATTTATGATGATCTATAACAGAGCGGAAGTTGGATGGATGACAAAGTGAACTTGTGTTTACGATCTCAAAGGCTATTTTGAGTTAGCATGGCAGAGGGCCACATACAATGACACTGAGGGCCGCATTTGGCACTCAGGCTTGAGTTTGGACATGCCTGATTGAAGGTATATAGAAATTATTTTATATAGAAATTATACAAAGAACCGCCCTCTCGACTTTTTGAACAAAACTCTCTGGTCTTATTCGACGAGCACGTATCACCAGAATGATTGACAATTGAGAGGACCAATAGTCTAGAAAATCCTCCTATATACCTTTAAGTTGATTTTGAGACGTTTGCCGAAGTCTGACTTACTCTATTACTCGGAGGGTCCTCGATCTCTGCGTACAGTGTGAGGTCATCGTTACATTCTGAAAGACACGTGGAGAACCGTGAGAGCATGAGTTATAATAATTCGGACACATACTGTACATGCGTGTCTGTCTCATACCGGTTTGTTGGTTTGTTCTTTTGCGTCGACAAGATGCCACCAAAGCGACGATGCAGACGATGAGAACGAGGCTGAGTCCTGCGATGACCAGGACCATGGTCAAACCTGGACACAAAGACACAAAAACAGGGCTTCAGATACGAGAGAGGGTACATTGGACTCATACCAATCTTCTGACCCACATTGTCACTCCTATCTTTATCTTTAAAGGTACAGTATATTGGAGGATTTTCTGCTTCCGGGTGGATCATCAAGACTATTGGTCAAAAAAAATAAATGTAGGAAAATGGAAAAATCCTCTTATATAAGTTTGTATGATGTGTGTGATGACAAGTGACCTCATCTGTGTAGATCAGGGGTCTCCAAACAGTAGCTCTTGATCACCAGCCCCTTTCAGGTAGCTCGCCAAAGGGTTTAGAAAATAGCAAATGATATTGAATGCATACATTTTGAGTCATTATGTATAGAATAAGTTTAAATATCAGGTTATACAGTAATATGGTATTTTTTACATGTGTTCTCCTTGTTTTTTCGTAAGCATTAGATTTGTATTACGACTGCGAAAAGGAGAAGCTCTCTGCCTCTTTTTTTGTATACAAGTAGCTAGATGTTGGTTCTGCACTGGCTTCCTGTGGCTCAGAGAATAGACTTTAAAACATCTCTGTTTGTTACAAGTCTCTCCATGGCCTCGCACCCAATTCCAGATTGAGAGCACTCGAGACGTCCTCATTGACCTGTAACTGTTTTTATAATCTGTAATTGTGTGCAAGTGTGTGTAACTGTGTGTTACTTTTGCCCAGGACTCCCTTGAAAAAGAGGTTTTAAAATCTCCATGGGACTTTCCTGGTTAAATAAAGGTTGAATTAAAAACAAAAAACAGTAAAACGACGTCTTCTGTTCATATGCACATTAATATAAATCCTATATTTCTTATGTTCGATCTGGAAAAACACAAAAATAAGCCGGTTATAGGTGTGGTCGCTGCTGCCTCATTTATCGACGTCAGTAGAAGAAATAACCGTTAATTTTTTAGTGTTAGAAGCGATTATCTGAACGGGTTGAATGAGCAGCTTTTGTGATGAGAGTAACTACCCACACTTGTTGCATGGGAGATGGTATGTCTTTGCTCAATCGATATGATGAATGTATTTAAATAAGTGATCGATATCTCATATACTTCACCATCACATGCAGTATTTGCTTTTACCTTGTACTTTTCCCTTGTTCTCAACAGGAAGTCATGTCTTGTGCTGTTCTAGTCTTTTGGTCTCAAGATGTACTTCCTGTCCTTGATTTCTGCCCCCACGCTTGATGTGTCTCACCTCTGTCCTTGTGATTTCTTTGGGGCAGATTGTCATATTTCCTCGTTTTCCTGCATCTACAGCTTTTTACGTTTACTATTGCCTGATTGTTAAAATGCTTAGACTACTTTCTGACTTCTTCTTTATGGTTCTGTTTTTGAGCCACTCGTACAAACTTGACACAGCACTTTTTGGTAGTTTGTTTTCTTTTCTACTGTTTTACATATGTCTCATGCTGTTACTTTTGGTTTACCTTTGGTTTGCTTTTGGTTTGCCTCTTTCATTTTCATCAAATATATTGTTTATTTTGTTAATGCTCACATCTTTGACTAAATTCCATCCTTTATCCCAAAGTCACCCTCTCAAACACACACTCATGTTTTTAGTGGCAGGGAAAACTGGAAGAAACCTATGCAGGCACGGGGAGAACATGCAAAATCCATACAGAAAAGCCCCTTCAGGAGGTGGAATCAAAGCTAGGACATTCTTATTGTGAAGAACAAGTGCTAACTGCTGTACCACCATTTGCAGCATTGTAATCCATCCAGTTTCCATCCATCTTACTTTTTTACCAATTCTACCAATTAAAGAGCGTATATAAGGAGTGGACTGACCCAGTGCTGATGACACATATAGTGTTTACCGAATGTGGAAGAAGCCGGTTTGAACAGAAGCTAGCTAGAGCCAGTTTCTTTATTTGGGCATTTGTTCTGACAGGGTTAGTTATGCGCCGTAACAGGGGCAGACCTGTTGCTAAGATGGTTGCTAAGGCAAGCTGCAGTCTGTCAAAATCTAAACCCCAGGATCAGGGAAGGCTAAACCCCATACAAACGGTTACTGAGCTCGAGGAGTTTGCTTTTACATGTAAGTTGATGGGATGATGAAGGAGTTGGTGCAAAACTCCGTCCATGAGCACTTCCCTGTTAGTCTATAGGGGGTTAGCTTCGTCTATCTGTGTACAGTCCATGCTCACAACGCAACAGACGTGATGTGCGACGTATGTGGGCGGATACCTTTATGTTTGTTGTCAGATGATTGACAGCTGAAGCTCTTGCTGGAGGACTCCTGGCTCACATGATTAGAAACGGTGCATGTGGCGGTGGTGGCTCCCCCTGGTGGTGCGTGTGTGAACTGCAGCCTGGGTCCAGTGAAGTTGTCGTTGTTCACAGTCCACCTGAAGCTCACGTCTTTGTCAAAAGCAGCACTGCACTGCACCAGAATCACACACGACTCATTTGTGGAAGCAGTGATGTTGACGAGGCTCACAGAGGGAGGGCGAGGCAGGGCTTCTGCAGGAAGAAAATATGTTAGAATATAGAAATCCAAGGAGATTCAGAGTTTGAACATTTCATAAACATGGTAATATAGTCTAATCCACTGCAATTGTCGCCAGCATATTGTCAAGTAAGACAGGTGACAAAAGTAAGAGATTTAGTACTTACAGTTATTCATATACTAATATACAGTAGATACTAGTATGAAACTCAAGTGAAATACGTGCTCGAGTACAATAATTACAAAATGAAAGATTGACGATTTATTTTTGAAATTTGGGGCATTACGTTTGAAACACTTATACAGCAACAATAGACTGTTGGAGAATTTCAATGGGAAGCATGACTAACCATTTCAACCCTGCTTTTTTGTTGAGTTACCATCTGCAAAGTAACTAGACATTTTAGAACTGGTTTCTGTGCCGACTTTACTGGATTTTCTACGAGTAAAGAGTAGAAAGTGCAGACATTTGGGTTTAAATGTAAGGAGAAATTGTTAAAGTTGTCAGTAAAATAAAAATTTAAAAGTAGGAGTTTGAAGATGGTCAAGTCATTCATTGTTCAAGCAAACAGAACATCCACATAATCTTGTTTAAATATGGCTTCATCACCAGTTTTTAGGCTCTGGGGGATTCAGATGTAATGTAATATATTATCATTAATCTCCCTAAGACTAAGCCTCCCTTTACATACACATACATGTTCATATGTCAGAGGCACATGTTTTATTTTAGCATGCTTTTAACTTGCTTTTACATATTTAATGCCTGTAGTGTGGGTTTTATAGTTGTGTTTTAATGTTTTAAGACTGCATGAGCTTTCTATAAAGGCAGCGTGGCCCAGACAGACAGGGCACCTGGGCAAGGGCAGCCACTAAAGGAGGGAAAAGGCTTTTCTAACCCATCTACAACTCTGCGTGTTAAAACTTTATCTAAGCTATAATAAATTATGTCCTCACCAAAAGAAAGAAAGTGCAGAAAGTTACGCTGTTGTAATAGGAGTATATCTCATTTGGCTGAAACTGTGGGTAAAGAAGGCCCTATTATGTAATGTAAATGAGAGAGTGAATGGATGGTGTTGATTGGAGCTGATGCTCCAGTGTGTTCGGCGACTCACTTCCGTCATCACCGTGTGTGGAATGATTGGAACAATATATGAACTCTGAACATTGTAAAGCGGTTAGAGTGACCTTGGTCTGTAAAATGTGCTATATAAATAAACATTACTTACTTACTTACTTACTTACAATATTTGCTATATCATGATAATAATAATATTCTGCATTTGTTTGCAGAACCATAAAGAAGAAGTCAAAAAGTAGTCTAAGCATGTTAATAGTCAGGCAATAGTAAACGTAAAAAGCTGTAGATGCAGGAAAACGAGGAAATATGACAATCTGCTCCAAAGAAATCACAAGGACAGAGGTGAGACACATCAAGCGTGGGGGCAGAAATCAAGGACAGGAAGCACATCTTGAGACCAAAAGACTAGAACAGCACAAGACATGACTTCCTGTTGAGAACAAGGGAAAAGTACAAGGTAAAAGTTGCGTGTTTAAATAGAGACAGTTTCTGCCTGAGATCGTCTGATAATCTATGACCTGGAATGAGGTTAAAAACGAAACTAAACTGTACAGTATTCTGTGAGTTTGGAGTTATCAAGTGTGAGATCGTCAGATATTATTTCCTCCTAGAAAACAAGCGCAATAACACTGCTACATTACCTACGATGAAGGAATAGTAAACATGATCAAAAACGTCTTGAATGTACCAGCAACAGGATGCATTTAAAGATTCAAACATGTGTGAATAATTGTAACAAATAAAATAAAAAACATAAAATCATTAAACATTTATACTGTAGATAAGATAACAATATAACGCAGTGAAAAGTTAAGAATTGTGTTATTGTATATAATACTTTACCTTGTACCAGCAGTCTGATGCAGCGGGTGGGTCTTTGTCCACTTTCATTTTCTGATACAAAATTAAAATCCCCAGAGTCTGTGATCTTCAGCTCTTTTACTATTAAACTATAATTAGCTCTGTCCAGTGTGACTCTGCCCGAGAACTGAGGAGCAGTGTCCCCTCCTCGCACGTCGGCAATTTTAGTCCCATTACATTTCCACAGAGCTGTTTTAAGCGTTTCAGAAACTCCTGACGACAGTACGATGGCTCCACCCGCTCTTCCATACACCTGTGTTTGACAAGTGTCTGCAGCTGAAACAGACAAACACAAACTATTAAATAAAAAAAAACAACAAAATCAACTAAAGGTGAACTGTGTGACATTTAGGTCTGCTCTGCTCTTAGGAGTAACCACAAATCAGATGTTGGGTGTTTTAACCTTTATAGCTTGGAGATTTGTTTCCAACTGAGATCTATAACTGGTAATGTATCTATTAGTCATTGGTCATCGGCCTATGATCGAGGGTCAGAATAGGCCTATAGGTCGTGAAACAAGGGCCAAACACCCCACACCATGTGAAATGTCGTTGTGCCTACGGTCCCAGAATAAACATGTATATAACTTGTAGAGGTGAAAAGAACAGAGTTACTCATGACCATCTATTTTGGTCATGATACTGATGGACGTTGCAAATTCATTCCGATATTGGATATTGGTTTCACCTATTAGATTGGTTTTCCCATAACCAACAGATGTAGCTTTAAATCTAAATATAAATTGGTAAATATATTGCTTAACCAATATCTGCTTATTTAGTAGTCTTTTCAACCAATGTGTGTACTATGGTCCTTTTGCACACAAAGCTTGATAAAATATATGCTTTTAGATGTTTCAGAGAGTGTGTAAGATAATCTCAGTATCATTGCAGCTGTTCTTCAGCAAAAGAATCCATCTGAGAGGTCAAGGAGGAAGTTTCTGAGAAGTTTAAAGCATGGTACAAACATTTCCAAAGCTATGAACATCACAGCACTGTTCAATCCATCAGCTAGGAATGGACAGAGTATGGCACAAGATAAAATAAGATAGACTTTATTGATGCACATGTCACATCTGGCATGGATAGAAACACTCAAGTTTGTGCAAAAGAAAGAAATGTGCAAACATGTTAAATGCACGATATACTGTATTATGTACAATAAAAAGTGGCAATACAAAAGTGGCAATCAAGAAACAGTGTCAACAACTGCAAATCTACCAAGACTCGGGCCGAGGTTGCACTGGAGGAGCTGCAGACTTCCACAGCTCACCTGCGGAATCTGTACATGCGCAGAAATGAGTCATTTACGACACTAACCTGGTATTTATGGACAAGTGGTAAAAAGAAAACCAATGTTCAAGCCAAATATGGGCCACATTTCACATGGAAGAAGATGCTGTGGTCAAAATAGACCAGAAGGGACTTTTTGGTCTAGATGCAAAACATATTGCGGTGTTTCTTCTCACGCCAACCCAACAGTCTAACCCAGAGGTATGGCATCTATCTGGGGCAGTTGGTGAGCATTATAGACGTCAATGCTTAGCTTGGTCAGGATTACCAGAGCTGGAGGATGTTTACCTATTGTACATATTTTTAGTGTTAGGGGCAAGCGGAGCACTCGGAGGAAACCTACACAGACATGGGGAGAACATGCAAACTCACATTTAAAACTTGATCTCCATTCCATACAAATAGAGTTTACATGTTCTTCGGGTCGCAGGAAGAACCATCTTGCTGAAAAGCCAGAGTGATATCCACTGTGCCGTGTTTTAATCCCAATTCCAAACTGTCACTCTAATGTGAGGCAGCTGTGAAAAATCAGTCTTTTGAGATCAATTGCAATTGTTATCTTCCACACAAAAAACCATGAAATAAAACAAAAAGTTATGTTTCTGGATGTGAATATGGAAAAGTTAATCGGTATGAATACTTCTCTCAAGTCACTGACACAATCATGTTCAATTTCAACAATTCAAAAGAAGAAGTTCAAAACTGCAAACCAGCAGACGGAGACTGGCTTCTTCGCTGACCACATGGATGTCAAGTGTATAATCTTAGTAGAATATTTTGCATATTTTGCGACTAGAAGGGATCCCTTAGAATCACGTGAAAAGAAAAGTGAGAAATCTCTCTTTCTCACTTTTCTGTCTGAAAAAGCTGATCTAAAGATGTGATAGAGGTCAAAACACATGCAAGCAAAAACGAGTGTTATGAGAGCAGATATATTACCCTACATGACTATATTCATGTGTTTAGAGTGTGCACGTACCCTGGCTCCGGACTCCAAGCAGCCAAAAAGAATTGTAGCCGAATAGAACAAAGAAACAAAAAAGTTTATCTCGGAGCATGTCTGCGTCAGCTCTTCTGGGTTTCCTCTAATGTCTGCGCCGAAGCAAAGTGAGAGCTGACTTCAGTGTGGGAGGTGTCAAAATCAACCGGACACACATGAAAGCAACAAAACACACAAGTCACACAAGAGAGTCTTCCAAAATTAGCGCAGAACCCAGTATGAAAACTTTAAACCAGCCATTTGTGCACAGGAAGAACATGCCACATCCTGCATCTGATAACAACAAAGACCACATTTAAGCCATGGTTGAAAATAGAATAGAATAAAGTCTTGCAAAAGTATGAATTTGACTTGAACTTGATGGTCCAGAGTCGTCCTGAGACACAGGGGTGCATTTCGGGATAAGTTTGGGAAATCTTTGTGTACGTTCTCACTGCTTTTATACTTCTCTACAACCTCCCCCTTGACCTCCTTAGGGTGCTCATTGGACTTCATGATGTTGTTTAGTGACCAATAGAGCTGTCGTTATGCTGCGAGTATGTTTTTCAAAGGCTTTAATGAAGTCAGATAAATTACTATGATGATTTTTCAGTAAAACAAAAAATCAGTTCCAGTTGAAAGGCATAACGTGATGAATTATGCGAAGGTTCAAGCTGTAATTATCCTTTGGCAAAGCAATGTATTTGTCAGAAAAGTCAGACTTGGTAATTACTTAGAATTAGGCAAATACATCTTTACTTTTTTAGATCCCGAATACAACTGAACAGGTATATAAAGGATCCAAGTCTTGCTGCAAAGACCTTTTTTTTTTTCAAATAATTTAGAATTCCCTGTTTTTATCAGAAAATGGTGCGCATTGTTTACCTTTGGGGTTGATTGTGGGTGAAATGTAAGATAATCTGAGATGAGAGAAACTTTTTGGATCTCATTATTGATACATTTACAATTGGTAGAGACAGAAAATAGAACCTAAAGTGAAGCATGAATATAAACGTTTATTGTTAATTGTTTCTCCTCTTTTAGTGGTTCAGATTCAGTAAGTTCCTCAAAAGTCCACACTGTAAAAGAATCACAGCACTTTATGGCTCAACAGCAGCATCTCTCCTGCAGCTCTGCCCACCGCTGCTGTTTTATTATTATTATTTTTTTACAGTAACACAAGTTCCTGGTAATGTGCTCAGAGGTGAAGTGAAAATACATCCAGTAAGTTCAGAGCTGAAAACCCACAGAGCGAAACTCATCTGTCAACAATACTTCACCAAGTCTGCAGATAAATGTGCTCTCAGACCTCAGCACCCACTCGTTTCCAATGAACGCTCTCTTTTTGGGGACGCAAAAAAAAAATCATTTGTCAAAGTGTTTCAGTCCTTTCCTCATCCTTTTACAGCGATCCTACATCACACTGATTCATTCGTTCATACCATACTCCGAAAACTACTTTTATTATCAATATTGTCACATCTTTATTTTCAACTACAATCAGACTTTTCGTATCACAATAAAAATAGTACAGAACCAGGTCACAAAGGCACACACACGTTCTGAAAGCAGTTGAAGTAGTAGTAATTGTTTATTTGTC